TACATTAGAACGTGAGGAGGGGGGATGGTGCGGTGCGCGCTGCATTTCCCACCCTAGGCTTATACTCGAGTCAATAACTTTTCCAGTTTTTTGTGGTAAAATTAGGTGCCTCGGCTTATATTCGGGTCGGCCTATACTCGAGTATATACGGTACTGGATTCGGACTTACAACCATGTAATTAGCTTAACTTCCATATGATTTGCTTAATGACTATGGTGACTTACTTAATAGGTATTATAAAAATGGTTGTAAAATCAAGTCCGGTCATATGATGACTCAACTTATGATCACAATGAGGTACAACCAAAATTCCAGGCTCAATTGAGGTCATACGTTGACGACTACTGTATACTGCTTTCAGTGAAATAAAATATTTGACCACAACTGATTTATTTCTGTAAACTCCAAACTACTTAATGCCAGAGTATAACATACTGGGGGGAGGGGGGAGAGACACTCCCTGCTGCTGTTGAAATGGAATATAAACAAACAGAAAGATTAATTATTTCATCAGTTGAACACCTGTCTAGTATAGTCACTCCTCTGCTCTTTTCTCCCAAGGATATATCAGGGCCATAATTATTTGTGAAAAGGTGAAAGGGTATTTTTTGAACTCCTTGTTGAAAGGTAGTACATATACATTAAGTAGGTAACAAATTAGTTATATAAAGCAGACATACACTTTGAGATTGAACTTTCATCTGCTAGTTTACGTGGTAATTCGTTAAAATAGCCTGCAATTGAATTATTGCTAGATTTTTGACCAGTGTAATTCTGGAGGCAAAAATGTACTAAAATATTTATAGGTATCTTATAGCTGTCTGACTCATTAGCACTTAGAACAATTAGAGTTAGTTTGAATGACCATATCCCAGTTTAATGTGCCTGACTGAATATGACTTTTGCCCTATTGCTTCTCCTACTGTGACACGAACTATCTGTAAAACAGTCACCAGTTTTGCAATAAGATAGAATATTAAAGTCAGCGAGTGATGTTGGATTAATCAATTTCTTAGCCTTAATTTGTCTCATGGGTTGTTATTTAGGGAGGTTAAAGGATTATATATAAATTAAAATTAAAGGATACAATGCCATGTATGTAGCTTTAAGTTCCTTGAAAAAAGGCAGGATATGAATGTAGTAAATAATAATTTATCAAGTATCATTTGACTACTGCTTTGTTTTGCTGAGGAATCATAGGGTGGGGAGTTTTATATATATCTGAGAACTAACATATCTTTGGATGAAAATAATCCCTAAGGCTAAACTCTGGGATGTAATTAAATATATCTACTTATTAATTAACTTAAGGAGATACAGTTATAATTTCTTGGTCTTTCAATTTGTTTGTTATTCTTTTTATAAAAAAATTAATATCCATAAAATTCCTGCTTATGGGAAAGAATAAATTAGAGAGTCAGTTTGCGCTAGTGATTAAGGCATCAGGTTAGAAACCTGGAAGACAGTCAATTCTAATCCTGCTTTAGCATGAAAGCCATCTGGGTGACTTTGGGCCAGTCACTCTCAACCCAACTCACCTCATAGGATTATTGTTGGGGAGAAAATAGGAGAAGGAGGAGTATTAGGCATGTTCGCCATTCTGACTTATTTATAAAAATAATAATGGCAAAATATAAATAAGATCTGAATCAGGCAAATGTTATTTATAAGTTTTTTATGGCTGCTGGATTTTTATCCTCATTATTGCAGTCAGCACAAACAATAAGCTGTTTTGTATTTATGCTGCTTTCTAAATCATAAATTTGATTTTGATCAGTGTGCACAATAATTCAAATTCACAGATATTAATCAAAAGGCAAGTAAATTGCCCATTAGAAAGCTAAGATAGTGAGGATTTATGGCAAGTTACATGAGCTACAAATCATTTTCACATATTATATCCAACAGTTATTAAACAGAGTGACTGCAAACATAGTAACTTTTGCCTTCTGATTAATTAATTCTGCTATATATAAAATTGTTGAGTGTTCCAACTTCCAATAGGTGTGGGTGGAGGGAGGGCTGAGATCATTTCTGTGTCTGTGTTGAGCTGTCCATGAGATTGGGGATGACACTCTGCCCTTTTCTCAGATACGGAAAGGGAGAAAATGTTAAATATTAATTTTTGTTGACAGCATGTAACTTCAGTGAAATTCAGTAATCCACTGTCAAAATATCAAGGGGCAGCTTTATATGTCATGCTTAAATGTAGAGAATGTACATTTTATTGATCCAATAAAACAAAAATAAAAATATGAGAATAGTTTTACTGCTTTTTAGAAAGAGAAACCAGTTGTTTTAAATACTTCAAGAGTTATTACCTTAAAAGCAATCTTACTTACCTTAGAGATTATCAAGTTAGCATATTGTCTGTAGGTCTTATTTCAACTTTTCTTAAAGAGCTGAACTAAATTGTGACCTCTCTCATGAGACTGGGTTGGGTTTTTTTTTGAGAAACTTCTCTTTTTTTCAGTGAACTTTTAAATAGCCATTAAACAAACAAATATGAGGAAAAATAGTATCATCTATTGCTTAGAAGAGACATTAGCTTGATCAACTTCAAACTGGCTTCAGAACACACCATGGGTTTATGACGGCTTAGTTGTAAAATATTTTTTATTAGGAAATTGCCACGGGTAATGAGACTCTCTGGGTTTTTCTCAGTATCTCAGTGACCATAGATTACCTAAATGTTCTGGAAATAGGAGGCACATTTTTGCAGTTCTATGCTTTAGGTAATTTCAAATGGTGTCACTTGGATATAGTTGCTTCTTGAAATGGGAGCTGTTACTATATTGTCCCCCAGGACTCCATTTTGTCTCCAGTGCTTTTCAGTATCTGCATTATAGAAGAAAACATCAGGAAACTTAGAGCTGAGTTTTATCAGTTGTACTGAATTCCACCTAATCTGTTTTTGGATGTGGGTCACGTTTTTCTTGAATCAGCTGTATGATCTGGGGCCACATCTGAAGTGGAATCTCTGATATCCAATTTGAAATAGTAGCCAAGCCCACTCTTCATCACGTTTGCTTGTATCCTAGAAGACACTATTACACTATTTAAATTATTGTGCATGTACCAATAAACTCCAGTCTCAAGTATTGTAACATGGCCTATGTAGGGTGTCTACATTTGCAATATAGCATATTGTTACACCTGCACTGTCTTTTCTGACCTCCATGTTTTTAGATTAATACAAAACATTATCTTTAAACTCATATCTTTTGACTACTTGGGAGAATGTCTTTTTCTATATGATCCCACCTGCTCATTGAGAAGTTTCACTATAGTAGCTCTGGTCTTATCTCATGATGAGTTAGAATCAGGCCTCTTTATAGCTGCTCCATTTCTTTGGAATGTAATCTCTGTTTAGTTAAGGGGTGTAAGTGCTTGTAAGGATACTTTTTAAAGCAGACTTTTAATTCCTGGATTTAATTGGTTTTATTTATTTTTTTAATGGTATTTGTTGTATCTCAGATTTTATTACAACCACCAAGCAGTAACCAGTTGTACAATATTATTTATGATGAACTTGTTAGTTAATGTTTGGACATGGAGATGCCAATTATGCTATGAAAGTTTGTCTCCCTTTTCAGGTGAACATAGAATATTGATATGGAAAACTGAATACAGCTCTTCTAGGAAGTTGATATACTTATGTCTAGACAAAAATAAACCTAAAAAAGTATTTGCCCTTAAAAAGGTCATAGAGGTCTTATGAGGCAATACCATTCTACAGTATGTACAACTGCTTAGTGTTACTATGGAATTGATAGTAGCACAATGCAGCAGTCCAACTTGTGATGGCAATATTGATCTCTTCTATCGAAGACAGTGATGGCGAACCTTTTTGGCACCAATTGCCAAAAGGGTTGGGTGGAAACATCATCCATGCGCATTTGTCAGGGCCGCGCTCTGGAAAAGCCGACCTTCTGGGTTCTAGTACGCACATGCATCCAACAATCAGCTGGCCGGCGCGCATGCACATACTGGTTTTTGACAGTGCCGCACGGGAAAGGACAGCTGATCGTTGCATGCACACAAAAAACCCAGAAGACAAACAGGCAAAGGTCGCCAGGCGACATGGCTTCGCGTGCCACTTTGGGCACACATGCCATAGGTTAGCCATCACGGATCTAGGAGATCAAGATGCTAATATTTCCATGGATTGAAATGAAAAAACAGCCACTTGCTTTCCAGTTTCTGGAAAAGCTATGGCTATTCTAGGAGCATAGCATTCTAATTCTGGTTGGCAGTGTCTCAACACACAGAACTACTTTTTTTCATTCTAGCCTTGGCAGAGGAGAAGATGCATTAGGAAGCAGTTCCTTTGCATCTTTTCCCAGCTGAACCTTGAATAAGGAAAAAACACGTAGAGAAGCAGATTGCCTGGTCCCCAAGTTTCTATCCTTAGGCCTTGGCCTTCTGTCAGTTGTTAAATTGAAGTCATCCAGCTGGTAGCCTTTCAGTCAGAATGACTTTATTTACTTTTTTATTTCCTTAATCCCTGAGCCTAATGTGGGAGACTTCTGCTTCAAAGAGAAGAATGGGCTAGTGCCCTTTGGCAGTATCTTATCACAAATCTTCCTGAATCTAGAGAGGGCAAAATTCCTTCTTCTAAGATAAAGGGCTGTTTTCCACTGCCATGATTTTTTGCTTGCTTGTTTGATTTGTTGAGGCTGCCCAACTGCAGAAAGAGGTTAGTATGTTCTCCTACCCTTAAAAGAAAACAGGTCAATTCTAACAGCATTGCCCCCAGCTTCCTAGATTGCTTAATCAAAGGTTTGGATAATGCTGTGTTCTGATAGGTCAGCCTACATATTTTCCCAGGAAACTGTAATTTTAAAACAGGAAAGGTGACTTACTTCCGTTTTTGGTGATTTAATTCACCTAGATTGAAATTAACTCATTTTCCTGCTCAGTAACTATAGTTGTATTTGGGAGTTCTGTCTGGTAGATTTAATTCAAAGGTTATCTCCTCCCCACTCAGACTTATTCTTATTTTGAGAACAAAGTCTGAGGGACATAGGTAAACTTCTTAAATAAATGAAATCCTAATAAACTTTCTCTGCTTTAGATCCCTCTTTCTGTATAGTATGGTAATCTGCACAAGAGTAAATTCAAGTTAGCGGAATTCTTTGCATATAGTATTAAAGTAATTTTCACATAGACTTACACTCATCATATATCTTACTGATATACACTGTTATATTGATGGATTCATATATCATGCTAGGTCCATGATGCTGAACCTATGGCACGCATGCCACAGGTGGCACGCGTAGCCCTCTCTATGGGCATGTGAGCCATTGCCCCAGTTCATCTCCACCAGGCATGTGTGCAGACCTCCCACCTGCCAGCTGATTTTTGGGTCTCTGCCGTGCACATGCACGTGACTCATGCCCATGCATTGGGGGAGGGGGAGTGTGAAGGTGTCACACATGGCAGGGGGTGCATGGGGTGTTGCGCATGCAGTTCATTATGGAAGTGGGCACGCACATGCGTGCTATTCTTTGCGCATGCTTTGGGCACGCGATGACAAAAAGGTTAGTCATCACTGTGCAAGGTTATTTATTTATATGCTCTCCATTCCCCAAGGCTCAGACAGATGCAGGATTTAAGTTGGAGTAAGGGAAGGAAGTCATGGAGAATATTTTTGTGGTTGCTAAGAATTGAAAACAATTTGATGGCATATAATTAATCAGTAACTCAATCAAGACAGACAGCATTGCCACTCTAAGTATTTAAGAAGTGAGTGCAGATTGTGTAGGTAATGCTTTTAAGAAAATGTGCTAGTTGGAAAAGATGTTATCAGACTTCTAAATTTCTGCAAATATCTCTAAGAAAATTTCCTTCTCGCTGATATGGTTAGCCTAGAAATAAAAGCCATCAGACTAATTACTTGAAGTATCCACTCTTAAGTTGAATGTGTAAGATTTGGCCCTCTCTCCCCTGTTTGAAAATATATGTCTGCTTTGTATAACAGAATTGTTTTGGATTTAGCAGAGTAAGAGTTATATTTTAATTTGGTTAAATTGAATTATTTATTGGTTATTTTCGGGCTTCAATATTTCATTCTGAAAGATACTTTAAATTGGCAGTTTGTCAGATTATGGTGGCCAGAAGCTAGATAGAGCAGAGTCTGTTGGTAGATTTTTCGGTCATCTGTAATAGTTTCTCAAGGATTTCCAAATTCTAATAGGACTAATGCAAAGACTTCTCCCTGCCTAAACTGGGTTGTGTATGAAAGAATGCTTATTTGGCCAAGTTCATATACTTATGAGACTGAAAAGAATATTTTAATATTTGGTTCTAGTTAGTCAGTTCCATAAAAATAGAATAGAATAGAATTGTAGAAAAATGGTTATGTAGCTATCAAATCAAGTGACTGCTAGATATAAAAACATTGCAAACTAAGGTTTGCCAGTATCTTAACCAAACTTCATCAAGACTAGACTGCCTTAAAAGTGTCTAGGTGTCATTCATTCAGTAATAAACTTTATCATGGTTCAAAAATACCCACAATGTTAACTCTTAAGTCAAACAGAAAACAAAAATAATACTGACATATTGACTATATCAAGAATGCATGTATCCAAACTCGCTAATTCTACAGAAATTAGAAAGAAGCCCACTGATCTTCCTTCCTTCCTTCCTTCCTTCCTTCCTTCCTTCCTTCCTTCCTTCCTTTACTATTTTTACAAATAACTCAAGGCGGTGAACTTATCCAACACTTTTCTTATTTTCCCCACAACCCACAGGTGGGTTGGGCTGAGAGAGAGTGACTGGCCCAAAATCACCCAGCTGGCTTTCATGTCAGGTTTTAAATGCTGCTGTACAGATTGTGTCTGTTATGTGTAAAGTATGGTATCTATTTATAGTAAGATGATACAGAAATTGTTTGGATAACCTGAAATATTTTGTTTTTAAAAATGGGACTAACTTACTCTGCATGTTTCTTAATAAATAAGATGTAGCTGTTTTGTTTGCACCAGACTCAAATGGTATGCTTCTTCCTCATAGGAAATCTTAATAAATTAGTCATCTACGAAGACAGATGGCAATACCATATATTAAAAGGAAATCAAGAGAGGCCTCTGCAATATCTAAAGTAATTCCAAAATAGCAAGCTATCTGTTTATGAGATTTAATGTCACTGGAAAAGAGGTTTAGATGGTTTTATAATCTATGTCCATAACTCATGATTTACAAATCTCTGTAGACCATTTAAATTTCATTGATACCAGAAATACTACATGATAGCAATTAGTCCAATGTGGCTTTCTTCTAGTCCAACTGATCTTTGTCAAGGTTCATTTAAGTAGCTAAGCCTGTTAGGCAAAACATCAATTTTAGTCTAATCACTAACCAAGATAAAATTAATAATCGTATCTCCCTAATCTTATATTACATGAACAGTCAACATGTTAAATTGACTGTAAGCAAGTTATTGTTACAATATACTGAGGACTGTTTTGTTCTTAATATTTTCCAGAGGTATTGTAGCCAGCATTTTAGTTTTTTTGTGTTTTGGAGTCACTCAAGCAAAAGATGGTCCATTTTCAAGACCCCATCCAGGTAATCCAAATAGCTCATAGCATTAAAATAGACTGATACATGTAAATTTTGAAAATAGTTATTTTTAATAGTATCTATCAAGATTTCCTTGACAAAATCTGTCATACAATTTTGAAAGTCCTAATATGATCACTGTCCATACTAACCACATATTTATTTGTATAGATTCTGTGTGCTTAACATGTTGCTGTATATTTATGTAAATTTTCCAATTTCCTGCTTAGCTCTACAACATATTTAAAAGAATACATAAGTAACATATAAGATAAAATCATATTATCAAAAAATTTAGAGCTGTATCTAATATTATATATTGTCCACATGTTTCTGAAAGCTTCTCCTTACTATGCTTAATAAAAATAACAGAACAGATGATACATGAGGAAATGGTTATTGCAAATAAATGAGTGCTGGGCACTGTAGTGAATGTTGTAAAAGTGATCTGAGTTTGGTGAGTGTGTCATGAAACTGCTAATAGAAGATATACTGTATGTGTCATGAGTGGTTCATATGACCACTTGTAAGGTACTTATGGGGATACGAAGAGTCTAGTTCATTCCTTGTCAACTTTCCCATGTTGAAGTGGTCTGTCCAGTTTTGGGAGGAGTTTTTCCCCCCACTACAGTACACACATTATTATTCTTGGAAGAAGAATAGGGAAGGGAAGGATGTTTCAATAAGCATATGTTCTTGTGAAACAATCAAAGCCATGTTCATTTTAAAAATACACATAGCCATTCTAATAGAAATGTTCATATTTCAAAAAACTATTTTATATACGTATTTCTCCATAGCTAAAGAGCATTAACATCTTCATAATGGAAGGTATAAAATCAGAACAATTTTAAAAATGCAACATGTCTAATTAGAATTAATTTTAATGACAATAATGAAGTAGGTTTTTTTTTATAATGCTTAGATACTATGAAGTACATTTTCATCTGTGCCAGTAATCTATTCATGAAATAACAGATGTGGTAATTAAAATAATGAATACACCATTTGAACTATTGTTATTTTGAATGGAACTTCTGAAATTCACATCTGTAAACTGCTATTCCTTAAAGTACTTGCAAATTCTAATTTATCAATGTGAATAGTTTTGAGAAGGTATTCCAAGTAATTCTGGGGCCACCTTCCTTTAGCTTGGTTCAGCCCTTTCTTTATTTTGATTAATATGACCAACAAATCAATCTTACCTGTCTAAATAAGATGTTGTATTTTCTTGACAGTAAAATAGGATAAGTGAAGTTAGTTCAGCACAAGGTGCTGCTTGTTTAATTTCTGGTATTTTCAGAATGCCCTTTTATTAATTCTTGGAATTTTTATTTGCTGACACTACCCTCATCTGTAATTTCTTTGACTTTAAACCTTTCATTTTGAAATGATGATGTGATAAGAAACCGAATAAGTAAGATATGCCACATAGATGAGGTCAGATTTACTTTCACTACAATTCACAGCTGTTTTTATAAGATATAATTTGTAATATAAGAATGTAGTGTTTTGTGTATATTAGCCAAGTTGCAAGGGTATTTTTCCCTACTTTGAACCTTGTTTCATTTTTATTAATAATTCTAAAAATATGTAATAAAACTCGATGTAGAACAAAAAGATAAGGCAAGGAGCCCATTAAAATTTAATTCATAAGAATTGATCAAAGTATTCCACAGTATTTTGCTGCCCCAAATCTCTTTTAGGGAATGAGTGGGTTGTAAGTCTTCAAAATATGGATAAATTTTCTTGGTAATTGATTTCACTAAGCTTTTCCAGTTAGTCATTTGGACCTTCTGCATTTTTATTTTTAACTTTATAGACTTCCTTCAAAACATTTACAATTCCATACAAACAAAGCTTCTTATTATTCCTAAAGATTCTATATGAATTAGTTTAGCCTTATATCCAATTGTAATATATCTACGTTTGTTAATTTGTTTTCCTAGCTTACTGGAGGTTTTGGCTATGCGTCAGTGTTGTCTATGAGCTTTTTCTCATCTTCATACTTTTTCAGGTAAGGAATTTAAAGTTTGTATGTTAAAAAAAAACCTTAGAGATATAAAGTAGAGATCATAATCATCAGCTTCACTTCTTACCATGAAAGCATATTGCATACAAATGCACAAGTGACATCATTTCAATAGTCCATCTCACTATTATTATTATTATAATAACCCTCACCCTGTTAATATATTTTGGTTACCTCAAGGCAGTAAACATACCTACTACTCTTTTTCTCCTATTTCTCCACAACCTTGGGACAGAGTGACTGGCCCCAAAGTCACCCAGGCAGCTTTCATGCCTAAAGCAGGCTTAGAACTACCTTAGCAATCTCCTGATTTTGAGGCCAGCACCTTCACCACTACACCAAACTGGCTTTCTAGTATTACAGTACATTATATAATGCAGCTTTCCCCAACCTGAACACCTTGGCGATTTCAACTCCCAGAATTCTCAGCAGTGGGTTTGATTTAATCTATTTGGCATTAACTCTGCAGGATCTTAAATTGAGGTATTTCTCATCATATCTACTGAACTTTCTGTGATTGAAGATTCCACCGATTTAATCTGGACTTTCTACCCAAAAAAATGGTTCCTTCCTCTTTACAATGCAAGAATCAAAATTTCATTTTAACTTATTTATTTTAGACATCTATGTAAACATTCAAGCAGCACTTCTGATTTATATCTTTCTTTGGAAAGTTTAAGATGGTTTGCTTTCTGTACTGGAACAAACCTTTTAGTTAATAGGATAATTGTTTTGCTGAAAATTTTTAGCCCTTTCCCCAGGTTTTAATTCATCTTCAGAAGGAAGAAATTAGATCAATCTCAAATGGATAACCGCTAAGTTTCCCTCTCTTTTTCAAGCAGAAGCAATGGTAGTCTTCATATACAGTAACTTTTTAATTGAGTCACGGATCAAGTTAATTTGTCACATGAATACCAACCCCCAGTCAAGTTCAGGGCTGGGTGTCATTTTAATTATGATACAGCTAATGTTAATTTTTAGTAAAACAATTATTCTTGGAAAGTTTGGAAAAGCAAAAGGCATATTTTCTTAGGGATGGCCATAATCTGTAGAAAACTGATTAATTCAAAAACTTTGATTTAAAAAAATATTTATAAGAACTAAATGGGTATTAATGGCAGGGACATGCAGTCACTAGAGGCAGGGGAGGCGGGGCCTCACCAGTGTCCTCAGGAAAAGGAAAGAATTTTAAAGAATTTTTTTAAAATAATTAAAGCCAAGGTAGTTGCTCCCAGCCTTCAAGTCACAGTGGCTTG